AACCCCAACCCCCAACCCAAACCCAAACCCAAACCCCAACCCCAAACCCTGGCTAGGTGAGAATTCAAAATTAAATTTTTGGATTTTTGAAGACTTTATAAATATATCCATAATCATTTATTTTCAATTGAAATTTTTTAGAGTTACAACATTTAAAAATATTCTTTAGGAATAAAATCTGAATAAAAAATTTTTGATCATATATAAGCACATTAATTTCCTCAAAATATAAATTTTACTTAAAATGAAATCAAAAAAACATTATAGATTTTCAAAAGTAATCTATGAAATTAATTTCTAATTAGTTATCCTATTTTTCATGAAAAGTAATGAATCACATCATCGTTAAGAATATAAAGAAGGTTCGGTGGTGAAGAAGTCTCATTAACCATACCTCTTAAATAAAGATTATTCTTATATTTATGATTAAAAGTCTTAAACATTCATTTTCTAGTTTTATTTGAAAGAATCATAAGAATAAATTCTTCAATTGGTTTTTATTAAGATAAAAATAAGTCTACCCTCAAATGCCAATCCCTACAAGTTTTTCAATATTGAAGTTCATGTGTATTTTCATCATCCATATTAACCCCATCAACTATAAAAAATGTAATAAAGAATGCTTTAACGGGATAATGTAAAGTAAACCATAAAGATCAACCTTATTAAATTTAATCAAAATAATAAGTTGATTTATTTATCCTCATCAATTAATTGCTTTTTTTATAATTCAAATTAACTTTTCCCATAGTTAGAATATCAATTATTCTAAATTATATTTAACTTTTAGTCTAATTGTAAGCCTTTAAGTATTAGCTTTACCAAAGCCATTTGATTTTTTTTCCATTAGTTAAGATTAAAATAACAATTCTTAACCTTTAGTAAGTTCAAATGTAACTTTTTCTAAGTTAACTTACAACGTATGAATTTTTTCCAGATTATGTATTATATCCATAGATGAGGGAAACATTTCTATTTTTCAATTCCTCTATATATTCCTTCTCTTGTTCTTAGTTTCCTTAGACCATATTATTGATAGTTAAGATGTATTAACCAAGGTTTTTTATACTAACTTTAAGTGTTACGCTTATTACCATAATTTACTTAGATTATAAGATTAATCAATTTCTCTTTGGTTATTTCATCAGTGGGATTCTTATTATAAAACAGCTAAATTAATTCAGTTCTCGATTATATTAAATCAATAATTGCTAGTTTAACTTTAATTTCTTCATTTCTCTTAAAAAAAATTTTTATTTTGCATGAATATAATTAAATCATATCTTCCCAAGTTTAAAAATTTTAATGTATACGAATATAATAGCCGATCATTATTTGCAAATTCAAGTTATTCAATTAAATAATATCCTAATAAATTTTTTTACGTTTTTTTTAGGCCAAATAATTAAAATTTCAGGAGTCCAAAAATGTGTTTTTATAAATTCTTAATACAAATGAGCATTATTCCATTTTTTTTTAGAGATATAGAAATAAAAGGAAAATTTTTCAGAAGAAGAATTGCTAATTAAAAGAATGGTCTAGAGTTGGTTTGAAGTGTAAGCCATGAACCTCAAGAATAACCTGACAATACCAAACTAGAATGAGAGTAAAATGGACAAATATATGGTGTTAGAGGCTCCATTAATAAATAATCTAAAGGTGGATTTTACTAAATCGAATGAGTAACAATAGTTTAAATTATTTAAAAAGAAAGATTTTTATATAATAATTATTAATCAAGAATAAGCTGTCCATCACTTTGAAACCTAAATATTTATATTTTCATATATAGTAATATTTAAGTAGTGGTAGATAATTATTAGAAATTCCCAGTCTAAATGTTGAATGAAGGTAAATATTTTCCGTTTAATAAAAATAAGTCTTATTTTAAATTATTTAATTTTTTGGGCATGAGAAGATTGATAATTGTAGGCTTAGGATTAATCGTAAGAGTATATAAAGACAATATTCGAAAAACTATAACGATAATAATATGTTGATGGTAAGTTGAATGTATTCAAATTAAACTAGCAAGATAACTAGGAAAGAATCTTAAATTGATTAAATTAGGTTGGGGATGAAATTACTACCAAACAAAAGATAAGATTCTAAACTTTATTAAGAAAATTTGAGATGGCATCAAGATCTCTTGGATAAACTGAGAGAAAAATATATCATATGTTAAAAACCAGAGAGCTCTAAATTAATCTAAACTTTTGATATGTTAGTAAGGCTTTATTTAATCATTTCAATTTTTGGATGCTCTATTTAACATGAAGTTTTCTTGAGCATTTGTGAACAACAATAAAAAAATATTAATTGCAGATAAAATAAAAAACATAGAATAGAATAAAAGAATTTTTATTGTTTAAGAAATAATTCTGAAATAATCTGTGTAAACAGAGTTGGTATTATGAAATGGTTTGGAAGCGAAGAGACTAATTAAGCGAGTCTTTTTCGTTAAAATTAGGAGCTAGAATCTTTGTTTATATTATAATCTAATATATTAAACTAAGTATTGCTTCAGTAATATTGAATGCGAAGTTATCCTAAATTAGAGGGATGATTAAAAGATATGGATTAATGATTTAACAATTTTGTAAAAACAGACAATAAATAAAACATATATTTAGTGCCAAAAGATAAAGGTAGTTTGTTTACTTTCCAACTACCTGAATGCAAGAATTGTTTTTTCTTAAACCTGTAATACAATATTGAAATATTTTAAATAAACAATTCCATAACTATTCATCTTCAGAATTAAAATTATTATTAAAAAATTAAACTTGATTGCTAGGTAATAATAATTTAATGCCATTAAAAATTCACATCCACACCATGTGTGGCAATATGATTCACTCAGTCATCTAAATATCTAAGAGAATGTTTATCTATAAGATTCCCATAAATAAAGCTTAAATAGTATATGATTTGTAAATAATAACTTGATAAATATTAAGATAATTAAAAAAAAATTAGATTTCGGTATTATAAATGCTGTAACTTAATATTTTTTTAAACTATCAAATGCTTAATTTCCTAACATTTAAAGAAGTATGAAAAAAAATGAGTGATTGAGGTGTCAAAATATTGAATATGATATTAATGTATTTTGAATCTGTATATTTATAAATACTCATTTTTAATTTATAGCTTTTAAACATTCATCTAAATATGTTATATAGATAATACCTTTTCTGTCTCTAGTCCATTCATGATTTGGATTGATCATTAATGCTTTTTCATAAAATATTAAAGCTTTATAATATTAATTCTAATCTTGTAAACATATACCTATAAATTTAAAAGATACTTTTACCTTTTGCCCACAATGAATCAAAGTGATTTGGATTAATTTTTAGTGATTACTCAATCACTTCCATCGATTATTTAAACATTTTCAATAATCTTAATGAATCACCTTCAAATCAAAATAATTAGTACTTTTGGTAAATAATAAACTACAATGTTTTGGATCAACTTTCAATGCTTCATCTGCCCAAATGATTGCTTCATTGTATTAACCAAGCATCTTTAAACTCGCAGCTAACAAATTAAATAATAATCATACCTTTACAATATAATGAATCACAATCTTTTGAATCTACTTTCAATGCTTTATCTGCCCAAACAATTGCTTCATTGTATTAATCAAGCATCTTTAAACTCGCAGCTAACACATTAAATAATAATCATACCTTTACAATATAATGAAAGACAATGTTTTGGATCTACTTACAATGCTTTATCTGCCCAAACAATTGCTTCATTGTATTAATTAAGCATCTTTAAACTCGCAGCTAACACATTAAATAATAATCATACCTTTACAATATAATGAATCACAATCTTTTGAATCTACTTTCAATGCTTTATCTGCCCAAAAAATTGCTTCATTGTATTAACCAAGCATCCTTAAACTGTCCGCTAACACATTAAATAATAATCATACCTTTACAAAATAATGAAAGAGAATCTTTTGGATCTACTTACAATGCTTTATCTGCCCAAACAATTGCTTCATTGTATTAACCAAGCATCTTTAAACTCTCAGCTAACACATTAAATAATAATCATACCTTTACAATATAATGAATTACAATTTTTTGGATTAAAAATTAATGATTAATCAAATATTGTAATTGCCTCTTTATAATTATCATCATCCCAATATAGTTTATAACCTAATTTAATAGATGTATTACCTTTTTTATATAATTCTTCTGATTTATCAATATCTTAATTAGATATTTGATTATAATTTAATTCAGATAATTTTAAATCAGATAATAATTTTACAATTGAATCTTGAAAATCTTTTATTGATTATTTGATTAATATTAAGTTTGTTTATTCAAATGATTTGAATTTAATAGTTTCTGCAAAGAAAGAATTCATTTATTTAGAATCTAAGTTAAGGAATTATTGTTTAGATTTTTGATATTTTGATCTAATTCCTCCAATCAATAAATAGAACTATTCATAAGCCATATCCATTTATTTAATCAAATCCATAATTAAGTCTTCACATTATTTTTCAATATCTGAAATATGTTCAAACAAAAATGGTAAATCCTATTAATTTTAAGGATGAGTAATATGAATTCCATTTTATATACATTCAATGCATTATAATCTATCTGCTTTACAAGATTCATTAAAACATACTATTTTTACATTATTGGCATGTTCTGAATTTGGGCATTTGATATTAGTATCAATGTTTTGATTCATAATTAATATTAATATTAAATCTTTTTCTAATTCAATTAATATATTATATAAACTCATTATTATTAAATTATATATTTCTATTACTATTTAATATATTAATAAATTCAATTCAAATATATACATTTTATGCTAATAAGTATTTATAATAGATTGGAATAACAGGAGATCTATTCGGATATTGAATCTTGATTATTGAATCTTTTTGGAGTTTCCATTCGAATTGCTATAGTTTTAAAGGATTAACAAAATAAATGTGATTAACTTTAAATATGATAATTTCTGATGGTTAATAATCAATTTAAGACTTTATTTGCTAAAGATTGTCATATATCATTTTTAAGAGCATATATATAACCTACCAATACAATAATATCTTAGTTTTTTCATATAGAATTAAAAAATATAGAAAAAGCTTGTGAGATTTCTTTTGATGAAAGCATAATCAAATCTACTTCTCAAATTTGTATTCCACTCCTAATTGAGATCATTTTTATCAGTACTCTATCACTTTAGACATATTTTTTCCTCTTTAATCCTCTAATTTTTAATATAAATAATATCTATTGATCATCAAATCCTTTAAAGAATAACTTTGAAATCCTTCCTTATTGATACCATTAATTTAGTTGAAATTTTAATTTTGTTATATATTTTAACAATGAAGAGTCTTTACTATTTATTATTATATGGATCAATAGAAATAAGTACATCTAGAAGGATTTATCAAACATGATTTTTTTGAAGCGAAATGATCTGAATTTTTTAGAATAATTTCATTTGAACCTTCCAAATTTTCAAGCTAAACTGCATATTTAAGATATACTGAGTCTTTTTATTTCTTATGTCAATAAATTTATAGAGTTCTTTATAAAGATCAGCTATTTTTGATTGTTTAAGAAATTTTCATCAAATATATTTAGTGTTACTATAATTAAAAAAATGCTTCCTAATTTTTTTCAATTACTTATTAACTAGGATTTGTTTTAAAATAATCTTCATCACATTACAAACTTCTAGAATTTACAACTATTTAACAGGCATGATCATTAATTAACCTACTTCTTTGAGCAATACTAATAATAGAAATAACTATCATCAATCTCCCATTTGCTCATTTTTAATTACTAACCTTTTTAAATGGCTCAGTTTACAACAACTTATCAAATAGTTCGATAGCTTCAGTTTATTATTTTGAGATACTTAATTAGATACCTAATAGAATATAAATTAAATCCAAACCTTTTTGATATTCTTTTTTTATTGATTGTAATTTATTAATCAGTGATTTAATATGTAATCAGGTGTA